CAAACACAGTCATGTAATTCACTATGTAACCAGTTCCCCCATAATCATACAGTTTACTGTATAAATGTGGTCCTGTGTGGGTATGTGAACGAACAAGCTGTGTTATTGCTGTGAATTAAGTACAGGACAGTCTATGTATGTCGGCATTGCAATGTTTTGCAGACGGGTAGATTGTATAGTTAACGCAAAGACTATCATACAGTTTAATCTATAGTTAACTACGGAGCGGTATGTGTGGCTGGGTGTTGAGCTTGATAATCGGTAAGTTGTCTCGATGTCTGTGTGTTAACTACACAGTAGTCTGTGTGTGGGGCTAGGCAATGAGCAGACTGTGTAGTTGTGTGTGGGGCTAGGCAATGAGCAGACTGTGTAGTTGTGTGTGGGGCTAGGCAATGAGCAGACTGTGTAGTTGTGTGTGGGTTGACAATGAGCAGACCGTGTAGTTATGTGTGGGGCTAGGCAATGAGCAGACTGTGTAGTTGTGTGTGTGGGTGGACAATGAGCAGACCGTGTAGTTGTGTGTAGAGCTAGGCAATGAGCAGACTGTGTAGTTGTGTTGGGGGTTGACAATGAGCAGACTGTGTAGTTGTAAATGGGTTGGCAATGAGCAGACTGTGTGTGGGTTAACAATGAGCAGACTGTGTAGTTGTGTATGGGTTGGCAATGAGCAGACTGTGTAGTTGTGTATGGGTTGGCAATGAGCAGACTGTGTAGTTGTGTATGGGTTGGCAATGAGCAAACTGTGTAGTTGTGTATGGGTTGGCAATGAGCAAACTGTGTAGTTGTGTGTGTGGGTTGGCAATGAGCAAACTGTGTAGTTTTGTGTATGGGTTTGCAATGAACAGACTGTGTGTGAGTTGGCAATGAGGAGACTGTGTAGTTGTGTGTGTGGGTTGGCAATGAGCAGACTGTGTAGTTGTGTATGGGTTGGCAGCAATGAGCAGACTGTGTGTGAGTTGACAATGAGCAGACTGTGTGTGAGTTGACAATGAGCAGACTGTGTGTGAGTTGACAATGAGCAGGCTGTGTAGTTGTGTATGGGCTGGCAGCAATGAGCAGACTGTGTAGTTGTGTAAGGGTTGGCAATGAGCAGACTGTGTAGTTGTGTAAGGGTTGGCAATGAGCAGACTGTGTAGTTGCGTATGGGTTGGCAATGAGCAGACATGAGCAGACTGTGTCTGAGTTGACAGTGAGCAGACTGTGTAGTTGTGTGTGGGGCTTGGCAATGAGCAGACTGTGTGTGAGTTGACAATGAGCAGACTGTGTAGTTGTGTGTATGGGTTGGCAATGAGCAGACTGTGTAGTTGTGTGTGTGTTTGGCAATGAGCAGACTGTGTAGTTGTGTGTGTGTGTTGGCAATGAGCAGACTGTGTAGTTGTGTGTGTGGGTTGGCAATGAGCAGCGTGTGCAATGTTCCGTGTGTAACCTGTATAGTGAATTGTGTGGATGGGTGTGGATTTACAAAAGAGTACTTTGTGTGGCTGTCTGTGAATTACCAATAGAATAATTTGTGTCGTCATTAGTGTGTCAGCTACAGCTCTCTCTCTCTCTCTCTCTCTCTCTCTCTCTCTCTCTCTCTCTCTCTCTCTCTCTCTCTCTCTCTCTCTCTCTCTCTCTCTTTGTGGCTGCCAATCCACTTAACATAGGTTGAGATCCCCAGAGAGAAAAAAAATGTTTAAATGGCCTCCTAGATCGATCCGACCTACAATTATTACTAAGAAATGTTCTGGGGATTTGCTTTGGGAGAACATTACCTAAACAGTACCAATCGTGGTCTATAGAAATATAGATTCAGCAAAATAAATCTTAAATGAAGCCAAAGTTGTACAGTGGCTAGATGCAAGCCTGCGGATTGGAAGGTGGTGGGCTCCCAGGTTGACACAGTCTTGAGTGGGTGCCAGGTTTCCTCTTAGGTCGACGTGATGATGACATAATCACCCAACGAGATCCGATTGGTGTATTCAGTATAGATCTAGCCCTATATGCCTAGCACGCTTGAAGACGTGAAAAAGGATCCTTTACTTACTTTAAGCAAACAAATGTTGAGAGGGGAAAACATAACCTTTACTGAACAATTGATAAACAACCATGAGCCAAAACGACGAACAACACCGACATCTCTTAAGATATGAGCATCGAGAAGAACTGGCTCATACACAGTATCCTCTCCCGAAAGCTGATGTATTTTGGGAATAATAAACGTTATGGTGGTCCGGAGATAACAGTGATGAAGGGTACAGTTTCCTGAAAATTAGATAGAGACAGGTCTCTGCGAAGGTTGATGCAAGACATTAAGATACACTGACTATAAAAGCACACAGAGCTGGATAATTTGCTAAAAAAGAAGAGACTTTCAGGCGTGGCGTGACGAGAGCGACATTTTGTGAAGGATCTTCTGGTTGGCAATGATGACAGGAGCTGAAGTGAACACCTAATACTTCAACATAGAATAACCCTTGAACCGCTAGGGTCGTAGAGGTGTATTGATAGAAGCACTAACATACAAAACCCGCCACCTTTGTCTTTATATCTTTAAACAAAAAGTAAAAGAGTAAACTTGAGATGATCGACTTCTTTGCACCGGGTTTTATCCTATATGGCACGGTCTCTCTCAAGATTATGAACGAACTCCGTAGCTCCAACGACGATCCCTATAGATCGCCATAAAAATGACACATGTGAACTGAACGACACAGACGTGAAACAAACCTACCACCTTCAGAGCGCAAGGCAAACGGCTTGACCACTTTCTTTGCCTTCCTCTTCTTCGACTACCCATCCCCGTTTGGTCCTTGAAGCAGTCTTTGCAATCGAATCATGTCTCACCACGTGCCCAAACCAAGCTATCTTGCAACGTTTCACTACTGCCAAGAGAGGCTCCTGATGTCCTGCAAATTTGTATATTTTGTCTCTGACATATTTGTTGGTTTTTTTCTTAATAACTAATTTGTAATATTCGGCTATAACATTTACATTCGGCTATAACATTTACATTCGGCTATAACACTTACATTTGGCTATAACATTTACATTAGGCTATAACATTTACATTAGGCTATAACATTTACATTCGGCTATAACATTTACATTCGGCTATAACATTTACATTAGGCTATAACACTTACATTCGGCTATAACATTTACATTCGGCTATAACATTTACATTAGGCTATAACATTTACATTAGGCTATAACATTTACATTCGGCTATAACACTTACATTCGGCTATAACATTTACATTCGGCTATAACATTTACATTCGGCTATAACATTTACATTCGGCTATAACATTTACATTCGGCTATAACATTTACATTCGGCTATAACATTTACATTCGGCTATAACATTTACATTCGGCTATAACATTTACATTAGGCTATAACATTTACATTCGGCTATAACATTTACATTCGGCTATAACACTTACATTCGGCTATAACATTTACATTCGGCTATAACATTTACATTCGGCTATAACACTTACATTCGGCTATAACATTTACATTCGGCTATAACATTTACATTTGGCTATAACATTTACATTCGGCTATAACATTTACATTTGGCTATAACATTTACATTCGGCTATAACACTTACATTCGGCTATAACATTTACATTCGGCTATAACATTTACATTCGGCTATAACATTTACATTCGGCTATAACATTTACATTAGGCTATAACATTTACATTAGGCTATAACATTTACATTAGGCTATAACATTTACATTCGGCTATAACACTTACATTCGGCTATAACATTTACATTCGGCTATAACATTTACATTCGGCTATAACACTTACATTAGGCTATAACATTTACATTAGGCTATAACATTTACATTCGGCTATAACACTTACATTCGGCTATAACATTTACATTCGGCTATAACATTTACATGCGGCTATAACATATACATGCGGCTATAACATTTACATGCGGCTATAACATTTACATGCGGCTATAACACTTACATTCGGCTATAACACTTACATTCGGCTATAACATTTACATTCGGCTATAACACTTACATTCGGCTATAACACTTACATTCGGCTATAACATTTACATTAGGCTATAACATTTACATTCGGCTATAACACTTACATTAGGCTATAACATTTACATTCGGCTATAACATTTACATTCGGCTATAACATTTACATTCGGCTATAACATTTACATTCGGCTATAACATTTACATTCGGCTATAACATTTACATTCGGCTATAACACTTACATTAGGCTATAACATTTACATTCGGCTATAACATTTACATTAGGCTATAACATTTACATTCGGCTATAACATTTACATTCGGCTATAACACTTACATTCGGCTATAACATTTACATTCGAAAGCTAATATACTTCAGCTACTCCGAGATGTGCCACTAAGAGGTTAGTGAATGCATTTCCCGATTTCACGGCCCTCAGGTACCAAGTTTCAATTCATGCTGAGTATTTGTTTTAATGTAAAAAAAAAGTAGAAGTATGACACGGTGTGGAGAAAGCCGAAAGGAGTCCGGATCGTCGACATATCTTCTCTCAGCTAGGAAAACCTCCAGAATTGGCCCCTGGAATGTCATAACTCTCTATGATGTAGGGAAAACAATGGAAGTAGCAAGGAAATCTTTGCCCTAGAACTCACAGGGGCATAGGAATCAAGGAAGGCCAAAAACAGATGGAGAAGAGAGCTGGAGAATGAAGTTAGAAAGATGGGGGACATGGGGAGAGCTCCATGTAATAGCGAAGGATAGAGCGACTTGGCGTGACTTGGTTGAGGGCCTATGCTCCATTGGCGGATAGAAAGGCAGAAGAGAGAGCGAGATATATATATTATTTCCAAGTTACATTTAACATCTTTAAGATTGTGCATTTCATAATGTATCTTCTTCAAGATTATACAATTCATTATGCATCTACTTCAACATTATACATTTTATAATGTATCTTCTTTGCGATTATACTTTTTATTGTGTATCTTCTTCAGGATTATGCATTTCTCGCTCGGAGAGTATTCCAAGAAGTGCAGACGATGCCAAAATGACGACCATCTTGGAAAGCATGTTGTCTGACGAGAACAACGCGAGAGCTATCATGATGTTTGTTAACGAGGATAACTTAAGGTACACACTTTTGTCCTCGGCAGCAAGATGCCTTTTGAGTTCTAGGAATGATAGTTTTAAATTATATCATGGTGTTTGGACCTTAGTGAGTGCTAGCTGAGAGAGTACAAATGGGAGACACGGGATAGTTCAACGAAAGTCTCCCAAGAGACCGCCCATATACACACTAGCTCACTTCTGATGGTCGACCTTGAGTCACCCGACCTCCGCACACTGCTACGGGGGTGTTCAGCAATGCCATTGATATCGCATGTTATATATTTAAACACGCCAGCGCTTTTAACATTACAAAAATATTTTGAAACTGGGTCTGACACCCCCCCCCCCCCCCCCCCCCCCTGACACTGCTGCAACCTATACCTCATGCATTTTCTTTCTCGGAAGAAAAACACATAAAGGCAAGACAAGCTAGAAAGCAAACAACATAGCGGCACACCCGTAACAAACCGGACAGCAGACCAGTCCAAAAAAAAAAATATAAATGAGACACAAAATAAGCTTTATAAAAAGGCCAAAATGAACGGGTGATTGGCGGACTTTATAGCCAAGATTTGAATCGGTCAGGTAAAGTAAGTTGATAGTCAAGGGCCCAAAAACAACCCTACCGTGCACATGTCATAGCGACAATACTAACTTTGGGCCCCCTGAATCCTCAAGGTGAATGACAACTTTGAAGTACATCGCTTGAAAACAAAAACGGTTATTGTTACAGACAATAACGTCAAGTAAAATGTACAGTCAATGAAAGAATTAGAGGTAAAAGAAGGAATGCAACACTGCACCAGTGAATAAAGAAAGATAGTGTACACTAAACTTGAAAGGTTAAATACTATTTTAAACCTTTAACAGTGGATGCATGAATGAATGGAGGAATCATTCTGGTAGTCTGGTCATCTTAGTTTAAGCTATATAGCAAACGGGTCATCCCATAGCTGCTCCGCTCCTGCGCCAACTAAAAACACACAGAATGTTTATCACAGTCCCTTGTGGAAAGACTGACAGACTGTTGTCTCAGCATATCTACTAGCATACACACGCATTAAAAGCAAACGGTAGCCATCCGAAGTGCTAACACAAACAGTCCGACATTAGAAATGCAGTTCATCATGGATGGTAGCAGAAGTCACCAACAAATCAGCAGTTGCACACGCGATCAGTTTTAATCACATAATGGTACCACAGATATTGCGACAACAGGCATCGAGCCATTTTCTGAATCTACAGTTCACACAACCACAGTAGAAAAGAATTTCAAATGTAATCAGCAGCTCACGGTGTCACGTCATGCACTCAACTCAGAAGCTGGGCGACGAGTTCCTTGGAGGAATCATTGAATGTGTGAATGAACTAATAAATAAATAAGTGAATGAATGAATAATTTTATGAATGAATGAATCCATATCTGAATAGATAAAGAAAGAAACCGTTGAATAATTTGATGGATGGGTAATGAATGAATGAATAAAAATAACTTGGTTAAAATATTTAGCAATTGCAAACAATATGGACTGTAATAAAAATGCGATTTGTAAGAAAGGCCACTACAGTTCAGGTCTAGTTTGATTAGCAAGAATAAAAAAAGTATCATGTTTCCAGCGAGCCTGAGCGGCGGGTCAGCCAGTCCAGTATTTTGTCAATGCTGGACAAAGCTGTGGTCTGAGCTATCAGCAAGCACTTCTTTTTTTTTTTTTCCACATTCACCGGCCGTAAACTCCGGCAGAAAGTTTTGGGTGCTATCCACCTCCGAACTTTTAGTCATGTTCCAGAACCTGGGTATTACCTGCACACCCGTTTCACACATCTGACTTATTTTTTTCGGTTCCTTGGCTCTCAGGCAGATGTACTCCGATTTCGAAGGATGCCCCCAGTTAGTCGAGTCCAGCGACATCCTTTTGTGGATGCAGTGGTGTTTTTTTTTTTTTTTTTTTTTTCTTGTTTTCCCTACAATGTGTCGGTTCTATGGCTAAGTCACTGCGAACGTTTCGTAATGCCGGGATGCCGGGTTCGACCAAGAAAGCCAACAGTCCAGAAGTCAATGGCAAACTACTGGACGTAACTTTGCCTAGAATAACTACACAACAGCCAGGGGCTGTTGAGGTTGGTTATGCAACGTCCTGTAAAGGATACGCAACTAACCTAACCCTACAATGGGCCCATGGAACCCACACAGGGAAGTAACGAATCAAGTATTATGTTAATACTGGAGCACTGCATGAACATGCATCATTGTTTCAGGCGTGTGAGCCGAGCAGTCAGCAATGAGTTAGGTATTATGCTTACATTGGACCACGCTGTGATCATATATTTCTTGTTTCAGGCGTGTGGTTCGAGCAATCAGCAAACTCAACAAAACAGAGTCAGTCTACCTACTTGCTAGTGACAGCTGGGGTGTCAAAGTTCTGCCCGTCTATAAGCAGGAGACAGCTGCCGAGGGTACAGTGACCATTCTACCAAAGAGAAGCTTTGTACCAGGTATTTTACATGTTTTTACACGTTAGATGAGAGATCTGTCAAATAGCGAACAATTGCGTCAAAGCGGCGAGATGTGATTTTATAGACAAATGCTGACAATACCTTGGATAGATGAAGAGGTAATGGGGATGTCTTAAAAGATACCTACTCACGAAGAAAACTAACTGTTCACATCAAAGAAAAGACACAACAATCTGTATTCTTTGGTTATGTCATGAGAAGGAGAAACTGGAATATGTCGTGACTGAAAGTTGGAGGGTAAAGGAGGCAGAGAGAGACAGAGAAGATGCTTGGCTGAGTGACATTATGGTATGGAAGATCATCTGTGTCAAAAATGATGGAAAATAAACCAGTCAGGCGTAGAATAATAACTTTCTCTGGCCTGTACATAAAATGGTAATCGTCTGTGCCTGTTTTGGTGGCTTTCTGATTAATTTGATTGTTTATCTTTCTCTTATTGATAGGAAACTGGCACGTCAGCTTGTTCTTCATTTGCACCTTCCTTAGCTACTTTATCAGCTCATTCATTTCCAGGAACTCCACAGTGGGATGGTATCTATTACATTGTTACCTTTCACCGGTTGCCTATTTTGGAGAGTCGTTAATGAATGTTTGTTGTTTATTAGTAACTTGTAGTTGTTCTTCCTGTTTCCGCTCTATAAACCAGTGCTGAATTGACATTTGAATGTGGTTTAGTATTAGAATTAGTTATTAGAATGAGTTTAGTATTAGTTTTAATTTAGATGGCTTTCACAAATGTTCTCTTGCTATGAAAACTCTTGCTTTTTGCATTTGTATTTTAATATTCTGTGTCCTCTTCTATGACTACTTTACAGCCCAAAGACGTGCATGACATTACGTTCTCAAATAGGACCTCTTTAAGAGAAACTAGATTACTGTTTGCTGGTTTATTGTCATTATTACTGGCTTTTTAAAAAATTATTTTTAGATCTTACTGGTGTCATTGCGCAGCAAATAAGTTCACTTTTTTTTGCATCTCATGCTTTGAGTGGGATAGAACGTAGACAATTATCAGCTAAGTCCTGACCCATTACTGCGTTTTTAGGTTGCACTAAACTCCATTCTTTGTGGTAGTTCTTGCAGTCTTTAAAATCCAGTCCCTCCTCCTAAAGAATAGTAAAGGCGACAAACGATATCTTTGTCACACATCTGATTGATTTAATAGGTATCTGTGAGTTTTATTTCTCAGGAAGATTTCGACACTGCATGTCTTTATACTTTGCTTTTACAAATTTAATAATGTTCTGGGGCATGTCATAGTGCCGAATCAATTTCCAGAGATTTTCTATGAATGCTGTCAAAGGCTTTTTAAATAACGTGTTAGTTCCATCAACAGCTTGAAGCTTGCATGCGCAGAGTAAAAATGCATAAGGTATCTGTCTGTTAGGTGTGCCAACACTAACGGTTTCACGCCAGAATTTTAGCTCCCTTTTGACGTAAATAGTCAATTACGGAAGCCGGCATTGCACAGGAAAAAGTACGCGCCATTTGGATTCCACCTGTAATGATAAAAAAGTTGTACAGGTGAGACAAGGATGGACAAATGCAGGGCTGAAAAAAAAAAATACAACATTAGAAATGGAGGATGATGATGAACACGCTGTTTTAGTTTCATTATTTAATTAAAAGTTAGTTAATTAATAGATTATTCTCATTGAACATTAAATAAGTTCATGAGCGCTCGGATTCCATCTTCAGTATATCCCTCAGCGTGTGACGATTGATAACATCTGTTCTGTGTTTGTTCTTCTTTCGCTACCTGTAGAGTGTTAATGTTTGGCGACACCTCTTGGGAACTGAAGTTATTGTAGTCTTTTGAATGTTACCCACTCACCGTCGTTTCCTGAATCACCTTATCTTCCATCCTGCTTGAGAGCCCTCAGAATATCACCTACTTAATATTTCTACCTACAGCATTTGAACAATATGTCCGCGCTATTGAATTAAAATTGTCTAAGATTATGTTTTATATACAATATTCGACATATATTTCCGCATTATTGGATTACAACTGCCGAAAGTAATGTTTTAAATACAGGCTTTTGCCAATATTTCATCCTTCTCATTAGAATAAAATTGCCTAAAGTAATGTTTTATATACATGATTTGGCTAATATTTCATCCTTCTTATTGGACTAAAATTGTCTAAAGTAAGGTTTTACTTGCAGGATTTGACCAGTATTTCCTCAACCTGACACTCAACAACACTAGAAACCCCTGGTTCACAGAGTTCTGGTCAGACGTGTTCAACTGTAGCATAGGAGGTTTTCGTCTGGGTTCAAAACCGTGCACAGGTAAATGATGTCTTTGTCGTGTCTTACAAAGCATTAGTCTTGTTGTTGTAGTTGTTGTTGTTGTAAAGACTGAGATGTTGTTGGTGGTGTTTAGTTTTACCTGTGAAATGGTGTATAAATGCAGTATGCATGTAAGAAGTGACGACAGAAAGGCAGATAAGACCGAAATATGTGGCTGATTGTGAACCCTTTAAAATAAAGTTCGTTTCTTCATGACCTCACTTCAGTGATGTACTTACAGAGACTTACAAGAAAGCGCACTTAAATATAGCACCATCATCAAGTCAACTGTCTGTTACAGCAGTAAACAAAATGAGCACAGCACAGTGTGTTAACACCATTTTCAACGCACTGCATAGAAAGACACGTGCATATACGACAGGACGATTAAAACCAAACCATTACCAGCATATGAATCAATGCAAATGGAACATAATAAAACATGAACAAATAACATATCACGGCGATTGCTTTAAGTACATCTTTCTCCACTTTCGAGGAAGCGTTCCTGTGTGGTTTTTATTTCTTTTCCTCTTACCAATATTTTGTATCCATTTAGTCAGCTACAGCATGAGTCGTATTTTCAGCTACACTAAGCAATATGGCAATGAAAGAATTTAAAAATGTCACTTACAGACCATTTAATCTTTTATCTTCCATATTGCTCTATTTGCATGTGTGTCTGACATATTGCTTTAATCTGTCTTTTTATATACTGCTTTGCCTTACCCATACTGCTTTAATCTTTTTCTTTCATACTGCTATAATTTTTTTTTATTCCATACTGCTTTAATCTTTTAATTCCATACTGCCCTAATCTTTTGTCTTCCATAAGGCCTTAATCTTTTGTCTTCCATACTGCCTTAATCTTTTGGCTTTCATACTGCTTAATCATTTCTCTTCCATACTGCTTAATTTTTTATCTTTCATACTGCCCTAATCTTTTGTCTTCTATACTGCCTTAATCTTTTGTCTTCCACATTGCCTTAAGCTTTTGTCTTCCATACTGCCTTAATCTTGTCTTCCATACTACCTTAATATTGTGTCTTCTATACTGCCTTAATCTTTTGTCTTCTATACTGCCTTGATCTTTTGTCTTCCATACTGCCTTAATCTTTTGTCTTCTATACTGCTGTCGTGGAACAGGTTTCTAGTTTACTCACTATATTACGGGGTGGGTGTTTAAACCCTCCTTCCTGAAGTGAGAAACCGAGACAACTGTCTTTTGAAGCAAAGAGCAGGCAGTGTCCCTGGATATTCAGAGACAGACTCGAATTGGCTCGTGAAAGAAAGTGAGCTCCCTAAATATCCACAGAAATGGGAAAAGGGAATTTAGATTCCTAGAGAACACTTAGACAGGGAAAATTACCCCTCCCGACAATTTTCTTTCCTGGTCAATAAATTAAGCCCCCATATAGAATAGGTATTTTGGTAGACAGCAATAACCTGACACCATGCACATCTAGAAATATACTATACTTTAACAATGAATGTAAATAAAACATAGAAGTTTTTAAAATTAAAGTCAATGTAAATTATTTAGTACTTTGAAAATACAATCCTCAAACTAAATAGATATGAGGGAAAACCGAAATGATATTCACGTGAAAATGTTGGCGTGAGAGAGTTAATGAGAATTGTCTGAGACGAGCAAAAATTACCACCTGTAGTTGCCCAGAGGATCTTCATCCAAAATTGAGGCTGAACGTTCTAACTGGACCAATTACCAAGACCAAGATCTTCCTCAGCTCACTTCAGTTATCACCTACGACCTGAACCTGGATAACCTGGTTGTAGTTGATGACTAAAGTGCCCTCATGAAGGTCTTGGTGACTGGTCCAACCTCAATTTTGGCAGTGTTTCTGGGGGTTCGTCCTGCCACAGGGAACCAGGAATCTGTCCATGGCTTTTCAGCAGCTATGGATGGAAACAATAAAAATTAGTCCCCAATTCCCTGCAGAATAAAATATATTCTTAACTCTCCTATCTCTTTTCATATTGTCCGAAATGTGGGAAATGGTCTCGTGGCTTCGTTATTTACATAGCTTTTCCTTGTGACTACTGCCAGGTCCAGATGAACGGTCTTCCATTTTCTGTCCTTTATGATGATGGTATAATATTGCATATTTTCTCCATCTCGGACAACAATATGCAGTTTTAAATGCAACACAAAATCGGTCAGAATGCTATAGAATTATCTCTATAAATATTGATGATTCTAGGTTAAAGTGGCAGCCCTTCCTGTCTTCCAGATATTTCATTGTGTGGTTAATTTCTAGTTGCAACCAGCTTTTGTGGTGCCGTCAAAACATTGTCTCAAAGTGTGACGTGACGCGTGGTTTAAATGTTTATAATGTTGAGTAGGCATGTTCCTCTCAACACATTCCCTCCACCAGATTAACGGAACTAAAATCTGAGCTATGTTGCTCTCAGACAAAAGTCCTGGATACCCAAGAAAACAACCATATTGGCTCGTTAAGTACTTTAACATTAGCTGCACTTGGTACCCACAAGAGAAGGCAAGGAATTTTAGATGTCTATCATACTTAATGAATTATTAGACAGGGCAAGTGATTCCTCCGTCATCTACCTTCTCCCGGTGTTATTATTAATAATTACAGAATTATTATATACTTTATTTGAGCCCCCCACCAAATGGTTGTTTCTATCCTAACAGTTTTAATTAAACATGTTAAGAACAGACAT